GTTATTTTACAGTTAGTGCAAACGTAAAAGTGGTAGCCCAATGAGACTTTAAATTCAATGTTATTGATGAGTTAATGGCTAGTCTGAACGCAGCTAAGACCAAAGTGGACAGTTTCTGTCTAAAACAACTCGTCTCCATAATTTCATGGCAAGTCAAACAAATAATTTTATAAAACCTTTACTGTTATGTGCATTGACTTCTTTGACATAAATTTGGGCACCTCATGAAAGAATACTTACATAGCTACTTACGGTTCTCGAGTTCGGTGTTCAACTCTAGTCTTTTGGTACTTAGCACCTGCTTTTGATCGACTTTTACATACAAACATATTCATAAATTAGTTTTAGTGGTATGTTATGTTGTGATAGTGAAATGTGTTAAACAGAAACGTTACTGGGTGTCTGAAAGACATCAAAGGTCGTCAGAAAAAGACGTAGATATGAACACTGTTTAGACTAAATGTATTTCAACCAAGCAGAAATTGGAATGACTCTATCTTGACTACAAAGCATCACAAAATACTGACACTGACCATGCACATTAGTAATTAAAATAGTCAGTTAGATGATTATTTAAGAGTAAACAGGAACCAGAACAGCAACATGTAGCACCTCCTTGATATTTATTCATAAAATACCAAGGAGGTATGTTCTAGAATTGCGCTGCTCAAGGTGGCTGCATGTTGGAGTAGTTCTCTTACATTAATTCAGAGATTTTGCTTTTGAAAACTTTAATTACGCTTTTTTTCTGGATATAAATGACTTTTTTTTCGGATGATTACTTCATCTGGTATCAGAAGCTGTGCTGCTAAAAGGATTTTTACTGAAACATTTTTTACTTTTGGACATTTGTTATGATGCGTAACCATGACAACAAGGTGGTTTTCTACAACCGGGAATAGTTGATTAACATCTCAAAAGCTCAAATAATACCTCAACTAGAGCCCCAAATCCCAAATAAGCTGAAAAGGAGGCGCCATGGATGCATTCCCATCTACCAGGAGGCAGTGCTCGAGTGACTGACTGCCAAGATCTTGGAGATATTGGGAAACGTGGCTCGTGACAGCAGGAGGACTGAGATCGTACCCCGGCACCTGTAGTTAAGTCTGTGGTGACGAGGGGCTCAGCAGGCTGCTGGAAGAAATGGCCATCGCTCAGGGAGGAGTTCTGCCTGACATTCAGGCAGTCCTACTGCCCAAGAGGACCAAGAGGTCTGCTGGGTCTAGGTGGACGGATCAGCATCTGCAGCCAGTTTCTTCAGATCTGCTGTGGGACGGACTGCTACAAGAGATCCTTCCTGCCTACAGCCATCAGCATTTATAACAACTCTAATGAAACCAGGATGATGAGCTATATCAACAATTAATTTCCCTTTGGGATTATTAAAGTATTATTGAATTGAATTGAACTGAATCTCTTCTGAAATTACTGTGAAATTTAAAATTACTGGTGGTATGAAGGTTTAAACAAACTGTTGTAAAACTTTTTACATGACATTAACTGTTCATAGCCTGTTCAGAAAACCTGCTTTGAAAGATCTGAACTTTTTATTTAAGCATTTTGATTGAAAATGGACCAGAAGATGACAGATTTGATGCTTGTACGTCTGATGCAGAATCTCTGTTTAGAGTTTTCTCTGTAAAATCAGACTTTTCCACCGTTTTCTTTGAAATTCTTTGGAGAAAAATAAAAAGCGACAGAATTTGTGAGTGCACTTAGCCATTTTTGGCTACTTACTGTATCTAAGCTCTTGTGTGTGATGCAACCAAAGATCACTAATGAAAATAAATGGACTTTCTTGTCTGTTGACACTTAGACATCTCTGCCCAGAAGGCTAAAAACAGAACCGTACGTTGAACAGCCCACACTGACTGTTGGTACAGATTGCACCTCTTGTGTCATATTTTACATCCGTTACTTTTTACTGTCCAAAGTTCCTCCTGTTTGTTTTTTTGCCTGGAAACCAAAAACGTTGCTTCTTGTGTTTTAGAAATTACTTGATGTAACGAGTATTTAGCTGTATTTTTAATTTCTCACATCTGTAGTTTCTCCTTCAGGCATTTCCTCACATTTAACTTGTTTTTATTCAACACCGAATGACTTGAAGTATTATTGTATCGTCTACATACGCCAGTATATTTTTTTATTTTCTGAGCCACAACTGTAGATCTGCTAAAGATAATCTTTTGAAACTTGATACACATATGCATCATCAAAATTTGTAGGGTCATATACACTTTTGATCACTCTGGCTTTAAATTCAAGGTCACAAATCAAGGTCACCGTTAAACCAAAGTATTTTCTTGTTTGGACCATAACATCTCAAGATAATTTATTGAAATGTGATACACATGTGCATCATCTCTAGATGTTTTTTTCATTACCCCAGCTTCAAGGTCAAAGTAACAAGCCAAGGTCAAATTTAAAACAAGGTCTTTGCTTGTCTGGGCCATTACGTCTGAGCTGCTCAAAATTATTCAACAAAGCTTGGTACGAGTTTGTACTACCACTAGACGGCATGTTGCGTGATCTTTTCATCACCACAGTTATAAGCTCAAGGTCACAAATTAAGGTCAAGGTTAAAACATGGTCTTTGTTTGTCTGGGCCATAGCTGATGGCTGTATAATAGTTTATAGACAGGTGTATATTGTTCCATATTCAGTATCCCTACTGCACCCACCTCTTCCTCTTTAACACTTATATTTTAAATGTTAAAGTTACCTGCTCAAAGGAGAACCCGTTCTCTTCCTCAGGTGTACGACCAGGAGCTGGAGAAGGTGGAGGGTTTTGAAGGTCTCTCTGATTTCTGCCAAACGTTCAAACTGTTCAGAGGGAAAACTCAAGACGAAGGAGACGACCCATCTGTGGTCGGAGAGTTCAAGGTAAAGTTTGTTAGAGAGGCTGATGGGCCCGGTGACGTCCTCCTCAGGTGCACCACAGCTGTCCTGTATAAAACATCTGTTCATGGCCAGACTGCTGCCGTTGTGGATCTTTGAGTCTCACGTCCAAAAGGCCTCATTGTTTTCTGTCTCACATCGTTGTGATTGTTGCCCTCTACTCAAAGTGAAAGGGCGACAAGGTGACGTCTGTAGATTTAACAAAATATCTCAGGAACCAGTGGATACATTTTACTGAAACTCTTATAAATAAGCCATTTTATGAACATCTACTACTGTTTAACATTTAGATTTGTCCCGTTCAAGATGGCTGCCACAGCTAAGCAACCTTATCCAACACAGAAATGGCTACATATAATGAGCTAAAATATAGTGTGGTAGTAGCTGAGAGTAGAGTTGCATTCGGGCTCAAAAAATCTGACCCGACCCAGCCCCAGCCCGTAGCTATCATTTCCGAACCCCACCCGACTTGACGAATTAAAAGTAATTACAGGTCCGAACGCGAAAAACCCCCAACATTTTTAGTTAAGCTTTGACAGCTTATAAAGTTAGTAACGGTCGGCGGACGCACGCAGCTGAATGAAAGGGGCAGAAGATCGGGGCTGAGGGGGTGTTTGTCCTTTCATGGCCGTCAAAGCGCATTAAATCTCTACTTCTGCTGCATTCTGCATTATTCAGACACGGACCGTGCTTTAACATGTCGGATATTTTGTGATCTCACCTGTTTGAATGGTTGGCCATGCGTGTCCGCTGAGCGCAGCGACTGAATGAACGTCCATTTGGGCGACGGATCGCTTCCTGGCAGTACAGTCCCATCTGAAGCTTAACTGAACTTTATTTTACCTCTTTCAAGGCCGGTCAGCGCGCGGTGAAATGGCCGCGTGTGGCTGGTGAATGTATGGCAAGTCATGTTGCCAGAAAGTATGGCAAACCATGTTGCCATACAATTGGAAAGTATGGCAA